GGAAAACATGGTCACTACACTCCAAGAGCTTTCTGCTTTAGTACAAAGGAGAATAACCCAGCAGAACGTGAGGGGCCCATCAGGAGGTAGTGAGGACGCCTCGGGGAAGTCAGGCTGACTCCACGCACCTGAGCAAGTGTGAACCTGAGCAGCTGACCCTAGCATTTCATGTGTAAAACGGAAATGGGAATAGTCATGGAACCTACCTCGGGGCGGCCAGGAGGACTGACGAGCCAAATTATGAAACGTGCTTAGAATAGCGCCTGACACCTTGGAGACACTATATAACCTTTTGTTTTTATCATCATTATCATGGTCTTGAACCCTCCAGGAATTGAGTGTAACGAATGAGGGCGAGGGGTTTCTGACCTGAAGAAGAAAGGCATTGTGGAGGCAGTATCTGAGTTAGGTCTAATGAAACAGGCGGAATTTGAATAGGCAGAGATAGTATGGAGAGTGTTCCAGAAAAACCCTCAGATGCCAGAAGGAGTCAGGCATGTTTAGGAAATTGTGAGGAGTCCAGGCTAGCCACTGGGGTTCGTGTAAGGAACAGTGACAAATTCACCTGTACAGGTATTTTGGGACCTTACCTTGGTGAAGGGTTGCTCACCTGGCTAGGCTTTTTGAGGATGATTTGATTTAAAAGTATTTGTCAATGATTTCTAACAGGAGTTGATTTAATTTACCAGGTTGCTCTGCTGTTTCTATAAAATTAGTCCAAACTTGGCATTTGTTACATTGCTTCACAATGTGAGGTGTGTGCAAACATTTTTACATTTTTAAGAGTTATGTAATTTAATACTCATTTATGTGTAGACACTGTGGCAAGTGATACTGGTTTCCCACTGATAGCAATGATATAAAACACGTTAGGATACATTAAGTTAAAAGAGACCGTCTAGCCTGGCTGGTGTGGCTCAGTGGACTGAGCATCGACCCATGGACTGAGAGGTTCGATTCCGGGTCAGGGCACACGCCTGGATTGCGGGCTCAATCCCCAGTAGGGGGCGTGCAGGAGGCAGCCGATCAATGTCTCTCTCTCTCTCACGTGGATGTTCTCCCTCTCTCCCTTCCTCTCTCTCTAAAAAAAATCATTAAAAATAGTAAAAACAAAGCACAACAAAGAGTGTCTATTTAAAGAGAAATGGTCATACGTGGTGCTACTTGTGGTGGCAAAAGTGGGATTGATGCCCGATGAATGAAGTCTGGGGACACTGGCTTATTGGTAGACGATACATATGCCAGCTTGTAGTGCTGTGATTTTATTATATTGTTAAATACTGTCGTCTCAGCTTTAAATATATATACACACAAATGCTGGCTCTGTTTTTTTCATCCTCACCTGAGGATATTTTCTATTTATCTTCAGATAGAGTGGGAGGGAGGAGGGGGAGAGAGAGAAACATCGACATGAGAGGGACACATTAACTGATTACCTCCCACATGACCCTGACTAGGGCTGGGGATGAACCACAACTGAGGTATGCGCCCTTGACTGGAATCGAACCCGCAACTCATTGGTCCATGGGTCGATGCTCTAACCACTGAACAACCAGCCAAGGCAAAATGCTGGCTCTTTAAAAATCTTTTATTAAAGAAATTGAGAGCCCTGGCTGGTTTGGTTCAGCGGTTAGAGTGTTGACACATACTGAAAGGTCTTGGATTTGATTCCCGGTCAAGGGCACGTACCTGTGTTGCAGGTTCGATCACCAGCCCCTGTCAGGGTTGTGCGGGAGACAACCAATAGATGTGTCTCTCTCACATCAATGTCTCTCTCTCTCCCCGTCCCTTCCTCCCTTCCACTCTATCTAAAAATCAATGGAACAAAAAATCCTCAGGTGAGGATTAACCAAAACCAAAAAAAAAAAAAAAAGAAATCAAGAGTTATTTTGGTCCTTGGTACCTGGCACCAGTTAAGCAAAAAGAATCACTTTAGTTGTTTGACTCTGAGTCAGTTAAAACTATGGAAGTATATGTCAAATACTCTGCTGTGGAGGAGTTCTAGGACTTCCCGGGAGAGCAGGTTCACAGAGATGTGTATGCTCACTCTTCCAGGGGTCAGTGGGCGTGGCTCACAGCCCTATGCCAAGGGCTTTTGTTAAATCTTATCAATTAAAAGTCGGGAAGATTCTTCCAGTTTGGGTTTATATATGTCAATCTCTTGTGAGAAGAGTAGACAGCATATTATTATTATTTTCCCCGAGAAGCAAAAAAGGAAAATCAGGATATTTAGAAGATGCTTTGAAATTAATGTTATTCAGAAAATATTTTTAGAAATATCAGAATATCTGGTAACAGTTTTTGTGTAATCTATATTTTATGTTCAAAAGAGTAAAAATTTAACTTAACTGATTGATTCTTCCACGTGTAAAAACCAAATTAATACACATTGGTCTGTGCAAAATACAAACAATGTGGAGAAAAGGGGAAGTCGCAAGTATTCCTTCCGGCCTGCCCGCCCCAGCCCCCGCTCGGACTGCCGCTGTGCACAGGTGAAGGCACCTGATGCCCAGTCAGCTGCACACCAGGGTGAAGAACGGGGTCTCCTATTCCAGGCTTGGGGCTTCTGTGGTCTCGTTTGCAAGTAGGTGTGAGGTGAGGGGTCCTGACTCCTTCCGGGCCTCCTGCGGGTCTGAAGCCCCCTCCCTCAGCTCCGCCCCTCCCCAGCCCCGCCCCCTCCTTCAGCTCCGCCCCCTCCCCCAGCTCCGCAGCCCTGCGCAGCCCAGGCTGCTCTCCCTCCAGGCTTTGGTCGGCCTGGTCCCTCTGGGCTCCTCCTCTTTCCAACAGGAGCCGGACCTAAGATCTGGCATCAGAATCCGTGACATATTTTCTCCTGGAACGTGGGCTTCGGTATTTTAATGACCTCACCCATTAGAACATGTCCCCACCCTCCTCCCGGTCCCTGTCACAGGTCGTGCAAGGTCATGGCACTTACCTGCCCCTGGAATCTTCCTGGAATTTAGATGGCCTCTGTAGGGTTTCACTTTGCACTTATTAATAATTTAGCGCTGGGATAAAAATAAAAACAGACTCATCTTACAGTGTGAGAACACGGGTCGTGCGTGCTGAGTCCCGCAGGCGGTGGGCAGGGCGGCAGCGGTCCCGCGTGGGCGGCCCTCCTGCGAAGGACTGCCTCCGAAGGAGAGGGGCATGGACCTGTTCCTGAGGTGGGAAGTGATTTTTGCTTTGCAGAGGTTGTTGTCTAAGCTTCGATTCTCTGATCCAAACACAGAAGCTGTCTCCAGGCAGCTGGCCCTTGTAGCAGGCGTGCTCAGCATTCACTTCTGTGTCTGTAGGCTTGAGACCCCACTGCGTTATAACCAGCCCCTTTCTGTTACCTGCCCGCCCCCCCCCCCAATCCTGTGTTAATGTTGGTCCCTGACAATGGTTTTGAAAAAAAAATACATTTTTATTGAATTTTTGGAGGGAGAGATAGAAACATCCATGTGAGAGAAGACATCCATCGGCTGCCTCCTGCACACCCCCTACTGGGGATGGAGCCCGAAACCGGGTGTGTGCCCTGATCCAACCGGAACTTTTCAGGCCATGGGAGGAGGCTCAATCCACTGAGCCGCACTGGCCGGGCTGCAAATGGCTTTCAAAGCGAGGGCTGGTGTCGAGGGACCTTTGGAACCGTTGGCGCTGCTCCTTGGGATAAAAGTCTGCATTTGTGGAGTCTGGGCCTCACGTCCAGATCACTCTTTATGGCGGTTTCATTTTCTGGGCTGTTTTTGCTTCATATTAAATTCGCTTTATCAGACCTCCACGTTTCCTTGTCGAATGAATGCAGAGTTCTTACAAAAGGCCGGCGTCCTTTCCCACCTTCGTTTCAGTTTCCTTTCTTTAGAGAATTCAGAACGGAGCTGTTTTGTAGTCCTGAAAGTATTAATAATTAAACACGTGCACTCTGTTGCTAGTGGGATAGCTTCAAGCTCCCCAGCTGAGTGGAGAGAAGAGCCGGGGGCTGCCATGCTTGCCGCTGAAGTGAGGGGTTCTGAGGGTGGCTCGCGTAGGGAGATGATGCCATTAGTTCCAGGGAAAGGGGCTTTGGAAATCAGATCTGATTCAGACTGTGCAAGGAAAAGGACAGAATGGAAACAACGCACCGAGAATGAAAGCAGGCCCCCACGGTTGGCATTGCTGCTCACCATCTGGACCGGGCACGTCCCCGCGCGTCCTACCCACGTCTCCCACGGACCCTCCCTGGCCGCCTTACCGCGAGCAGCCCTTTCCTGTTCTCTTCAGGACCCTGTTTACTCCCGTCTCAGCTCTCACCGCAGACTGTTTATTTTGTTGATACTGTCTTTGCCCCTCAGGAATGTAGGTTCTGTTGAGAGGTACTGCCTGAAACTGCCCGGCACACGCTAGCCAGTACGCTCATTACATGGGAGTTGTTTACGGTTTGAAGAGCTCCTTTTTGTTATTCCTTTGAGATTAGTTTGTCCTGCTGGGCCAGGGGAATTCAAGTCTCCTGCTATCAAGAACCACGCAGTATGTTCCAGTGTTCTTGCTTGCGTGCATTTGACTTTACTGAGCACTTAGAGAGCGATGGGCTTTCCTGAGAGCAGACGGAGGACCCAGGACCCTCCCGTTGGTACAGTGCTCACCCAGAGTTAGGTGTCTTTCCACATTCACCAGGCACTGAACTGGCTCATGGTGGAGCTCTCTGAGGACAGGGAGGCCCGAGTTGGCCTCGGTGAGCACACAGTGCCATCATGGAGGCACAGTTGTTCTGCTCCTGGAAGGGAAAACCCTGCCCTAGCATCAGTTCACGAGCCTTGAACCCAGCCCTGGATGGCCTCTGTAGGTCTGCCTTGTGACCCTAAGCTCTTACCCATCCTTAAGCCAAAGGCTGAAAAGGAAAGTTGGGCAACTCGGTTGCTCTCTGAAGATCAGTGTGATCATCGTGACTGTGGTCCCTCAAAGAGGAAGAGGTGAAATGCAAATTTGGTAAGTCATTCTTTGGTGGTGTTCTAAATGTTGCCTTTTATCTGCCACAGGTCATCTATTTGAAGAAGACACCAGAAGAGGCCTACAGAGCTCTCCTGTCCGGCTCCAACCCCCCCTACCTTCCATTCAGGTACGGCGAGCTGCTGGTGAGGTGTAGCACCTTGAGGTGGCTCATTGCTTTAGAGTCGGGTACTGTTTTTAATCGTTTTAGGACTGAGTGAAATGACATGGTAGTTTTTATTCTTTCCTTTTTGCAGAGCTTTATTTTCTCCTGTCTAGTAAGAGTAAACAGCTTCCTCATTTTAGGAATTAATTTTTCCCTTGAATCCTTTCTGTATCCTGACAGTTGAAGCACAAGGAGTGCTTGATTTATGAGCTAATAACCACGCCGGGGTTTGTTAGCTTTCAGTAATCTGCACCAGTGATCCAGCTGTGCATCCTTTTATTTCACCAGCACTGGTTGCGCTCTGACGAAATGTCAGGGTCTGGGGATGTAGAATAAGACCCTCCCAGTTCTTCCCGGAAGCAGATGCTCAGTGGGAGCCCCACTTAACCTGTGTAGCACACAAAGCTAGCTTTCATCCTGAGGAAGGCTGTCTCTTCAGTATAGTGTTGGAAAAGAGCATTTTGTAAGTATCAACCAAAGATCTTTTGAAAAATTTGAGTAAACTTGAGCTTGTTTGAAAAGTAGAAGGAACATACATTAAAACTCCCACAAGAGTCATCTCTGATAGAGTTGTGAATGATTCTTATATTTTTGCCTGTTTTGCTTATTTGTGTGTCTGAATCTACAAGCATGGACTGCTTATTATTGTTTCCTGATATCATGACTACCAACAATAGTGAAAGAAAGGGAAGAACGAGGAGGCTCTGAGCTGGTCCATCTCCCTTACTCTCCTGTGAACTCAGAGGGTGGGGCCCAGGGCCTGACCCTTAGTAGTGTTCTTAGTAATTATTTCTATGAATAAATTAAGGCACAATCCCTTAAGGATCAAAGGGTTCCAATCTGTGTTTCTCAGACCACAGGAGGGGTGTTATTGAGCACAGGGTGGGTGCCAAGGTTGGGAGGAGGCACAGGGAAGACAGCACCCACTGCACTTGAACTTCTTGGTGAAATCAAGGGGGCAAATATCCCCAAGAAACCTAGAGTATGAGCTAATTAGCTATTGAAGGGCAGATAAACAGTGACAGATTATTAAGCATGATTATATTTTTAGTTTATATGTGCTAGGTAATTTGTTGCCTGAGAGCTAGGCTTTTTAAATAATTAACATCAGAATGGAAGGAAAGATAGTTAAAAAATCATTACTACTTAACATAGAATTAAATCATAATTATCACAGTTGTCTATTTTTCTAAATTGCTTTTATTTAAATATTTGAAAATAAAAATACAATAACATGGTTCAATTTTTTTTTTTAAATATACAAGAATATATTTACAGTGAAAATGCTTTCTCCCACCCTCAATTTTCATCTATCTGATCCTTTCTGGCAACTTCTGGCATTCGTTTATTCCATATCTGTCTAGAGTTTCTGTGTGCACACATAAGCAAATGCAGATATATTCTTATTTTTCCCATTTTAATTACAAAATGTAGTGTACTGCATCTGCTGTTCTGCACCTTAATTTTTTTCACTGAACTCATCTTGTATTTCTTTTGCTATAGGTACATAGAGAGCTTCCTTCCTCATTCTGTCTTATTTCTGTAAAATGTTCAAGAATATATTTAACCAGTCTCTAACAGAGACATTCAGGTCGTTGCCTATCATTCATTTTAATTGTAGCTTTTCCAGTCACTTGGTCTCAAATGTATTTTAGAAGAAAGAAACTGAGACAATACTATAAAGAAAATTATAGAATTATTGTTAGACATAAAGAGATTTTTTAAAAAAAATCCTCACCTGAAGATATTTTTTCATTTCTCTTCAGATAGAGTTGGCGGGGGGGGGGGAGAAACACATCGACGTGAGAGACACTCTTCGACTGGTTGCCTCCCTCACAACCCGACCAGGGCCAGGGATGAACTGCAACCGAGGTACATGCTTTTGACTAGAATTGAACCTGCAACTCTTCAGTCTGCGGGCTGACGCTCTGACCGCTGAGCCAAACCCGCCAGCACTAGACATAAAGAGATTTTAGAAATCTGTTTGGTGAAGCTGCTCATTTTAGAAGCTTCATGCAGACGGGAGGCCTCTGTGTGTCAGTTTAGGCACCTGTTCCTCCCGACATTTGGCCTCGAGTGTAGCTCTAGGTTTCGTCTTTCTTGTAACTCAGGACACCGGGAGTTGTGTTTCTGTGAAGCTGCGTTTCTAGGTCCAGACTCCTCAAGCACCATTCATATGAAGCAGGAATTACTACAACTAGTGCCTTAGGATTTAGTGAAGGACTTGGTGGAAATAATACTAGGAGTGTTCTGGAATTGACAAAAGAAGCTTGACCTTCCCTATTGTGAGTTGATGTTAGTCTCTAGCCCAGGCTGAGGAGGGCTAATGCCTTCAAAGTCATCTTCAGAAAAAAAAGAAGGGATTAAACAAAGAAAAAAAAAAAAAAACCCTCATAGACACAGACAACAATATGGTGATTATCAGAGGGAAGGAGGAAGGAGACTTGACTTGGGGTGGCGAACACACAATACAATATACGAATGATGTATTATAGAATTGTACCCTGAAACTTATATAATTTTAGTAACCAGTGACACCTCAATAAATTCAATTTTAAAAAATTAAAAAGAGAAAAAAGAATCCTCCCCATACCAGTCTGGTCTGCCATTACCACCTTGGCCTTCATTTATAGTCTGGGTTCTATCATCTGCGAGGTTTTTGCACTAGTTGTTGTTAAATTACACTCGTGTCTTCATTGTCTAGATTTTTTTAGCCCACTGCCGCATCAACACTTTTATTTTACACACTGGAAGTCTTCAAGGACCTTCCAGTTAAGTGTAATGTTTAATTGTTAAAATGTTTTTAAAACTGAAGACCATTTGGTGTGTGGTGGGATCTTATCGGCCGTCTTCGCCGAGGTGCCTGTTCCCATGTGCACCACATATTTTTAGTGTCTTTGCAGTGAAGGGGTTTTTAAGGCTACTGTGAATTTAGCAATGTGTTCTTCAAGACTGACTACTTTAAGAAACTGAGCAGTCTTCTGTAAGGCCTTTCCTCGTTTTCCTGGAGAGCCTTGTGGGCAGGCCGAGCCTCTGGTTCCCTGGTACATTTTGTTCATGCCCCATTACATTTGCTACAGAGCCGTCGGCGCAGGCGTCTCGTGTTGTGATCATAGGTTTGCATGGCCAACTTCCCACCATGTATGGCCATCTCTTCTCTTGCGGGCTGGGTCGGGCTTTTATTTGCCAGGAAATACTGTGTGCATTGACTTACATATTGCTTCCTTGGGGCCAGTCACTATGATCGTGTTATGGATGTAAACATGATTGCACTGATGAGGTACCAGCTCCACGAGACTCAGCACGTGGTTTGTAAGTGTGTAGGTGAGCAGTTATAGTGCTTTATTAGAGTTAGGGGGTAAATGTTACAGGAATACGGACGCAGGAGGTTTAACCCTGGAACCAGGGATTGGAGGAGATGTTAAGGGTAAGCCCTACGAATGCGTTTCATGTCAAGATGAATAGTGGAGAAGAACAATCCAGTGCTGATTCAGGGGCTGTTATTTTTTATTTGTATGGCATAGGTCATCTCTATAATGGCAGGTTAGGTAGATACCTGTAATAGGATGTTTACAGTTGTAGGTATTTTATTATAACAGAAAGGACTATCTGTTTTTCTATTTGGATATATCTTAAAATGTTTTTAATTATAGTTTTTTATTAACCTAGTTAACAATTATTTAAAGATGAGGCAAATAAAAAAAGATTTGGGTAGCTTTACTGCCTATTCTTTTCTTTCCCAGTTTTATTGAGATGTAATTGACAGACAGCACTGTGTAAGTTTAAGGTGTACGGCATAATTATTTAACATACATATATAGGTTACCATAATAAGTTTAATTAGCATCTATCACTTCATGTAGTTACAAACAATTTTTCTTAGGATGAGAACTTTTGAAATCTATCTAGCCTCTTAGCAACTTTCAGATATCCTGTACAGCAGTGTTAACTTTAGTCATCATGTTGTGTATTGTAGCCTCAGTACTTATTTATCTTACAACTGGAAGTTTGTGCCTTTTGACCCCCTTCACCCAATTCCCCCACCCCCATTTACTGTCTATTCTTTTAAAAAAACTTATCTTTATTGTTGAATATATTACAGATGTCCTACCTTTCCCCCTGTTGAACCCCTCCTCCCTGCTCGTGCCCCCCCCTTCCCCATAATATTGTCTCTGCCCATTGGATATGCCTATATGCATTTAAGTTCTTTGATTTATCTCTTCCTGCCCCTCCCTTCCCTTTGAGGTTTGTCAGTCTAACAACCAATTTGTATTTCCTTTTTTAAAAAGAAAACATTTTTTAATTGATTTTTTTTAGAGAGAAAGGAAGAGAGAGAGAGACAAACATCAATATGAGAGAGATACATCAATCGGCTGCCTTCTGAACGCCCCCTACTGGGGATCAAGCCTGCAACCCAGGCATGTGTCCTGACTGGGAATCGAACTGGGACCTCTCAGTCCATGGGATGATGCTCAATCCACTGAGCCACACCAGCTGGGCCAATTTATACTTTTTAATCCCCTCACCTTTTTTGCCCATTCCCCCAACCCCCCTCCCATCTGGCAACTATCAAAAAGTTCTTTGTATCTATGAGTCTGTTTCTGTTCTGCTTGCTCATTTTGTTTGTAGATTCAATTGTTGATAGACAGGTATTTATTGCCATTTTATTGTTCATAATTTTTATCTTCTTTTTCTTCAAGAAGACCCTTCTGTATTTCATATAATACTGGTTTGGTGGTGATGAACTACTTTAGCTTTTTCTTGTCTAGGAGACTCTTTGTATGTCCATCAATTCTAAATGATAGCTTTGCAGGATAGAGTAATCTTGGTTGTGGGTCCTTGCTTTTCATCACTTTGAATATTTCTTGCCACTACCTTCTAGCCTGCAAAGTTTCTTTTGAGAACTCATCTGACAGTCTTATGGGAGCTCCCTTGTAGGTAACTAACTGCTTTTCTCTTGGCTG